TGGAAAGGGAAAATATTCAAAGTTATTTTTAACTGAAACATTTACGCAAATTAATAAAACAATTCATAAGTCAAGTGGAAAGGGAAAATATTCAAAGTTATTTTTAACTGAAACATTTACGCAAATTAATACAATAATTTATAAGTCAGGTGGAAAGGGAAAATATTCAAAGTTATTTTTAATTGAAACATTTACGCAAATTAATACAATTAATAATTCCAGTGGAAACGGAAAATATTTACCAGTATTAAAAGTTATTTTTAATAGTTATTTTTAATTGAATTGGGAAAATTGAAAAAAAATATTGAATATTTAAAATTATTTTTAATTGAAAAATTTAAGCAAATTAATACAATTTATAAGTTCAATGGAAAGGGAAAATATTTAAAGTTATTTTTAAGCAAAACATTTACGCAAATTAATACAACAATTTATAAGTCAAGTGGAAAGGGAAAATATTCAAAGTTATTTTTAACTGAAACATTTACGTAAATTAATAAAACAATTCATAAGTCAAGTGGAAAGGGAAAATATTTAAAGTTATTTTTTAATTAAAACATTTACGCAAATTAATACAATTTTTTAAGTCTAGTGGAAAGGAATAATATTTAAAGTTATTTTTAATTGAAACATTTATACAACAATTTATAAGTCCAGTGGAAAGGGAAATTATTTAAAGTTATTTCTAATTAAAACATTTACGCAAATTAATACAATTTATAAGTCAACTGGAAAGGGAAAATATTTAAAGTTATTTTTAACTAAAACATTTACGCAAATTAATACAACAATGTATAAGTCCAGTGGAAAGGGAAAATATTCAAAGTAATTATTAATTGAAACATTTACGCAAATTAATACAACAATTTATAAGTCCATTGGAAAGGGAAAATATTTAAAGTTATTTTTAATTGAAACATTTACGCAAATTAATACAATTAATAACTCCAGTGGAAAGGGAAAATATTTAAAGTTATTTAATTGAAACATTTACGCTTATTAATACAATTTATCAGTCCAGTGGAAAGGGGAAATATTTAAAGTTATTTCTAATTGAAACATTCAAGAAAATTAATATAACAATTTGTAAGTCCATTGGAAAGGGAAAATATTTAAAGTTATTTTTTAATTAAAACATTTAGCAAATTAATACAATTTTTTAAGTTTAAAGTTATTTTTAATTGAAACATTTAAGCAAATTGATACAATTTATTAGTCCAAAGGAAAGGGAAAATATTCAATGTTATTTTTAACTGAAACATTTACACAAAATTATACAACATTTTTTAAGTCCAATGGAAAGGGAAAATATTTAAAGTTATTTTTAATTGAAAAATTTGAGAAAATTAATACAACAATTTATAAGTCCAATGAAAAGGGAAAATATTTAAAGTTATTTTTAATTGAAACATTTACGCAAATTAATACAACAATTTATAAGTCCAGTGGAAAGGGAAAATATTTAAAGTTACTTTTAATTGAAACATTTACGAAAATAAAATACAACAATTTAAGTTATTTATTATTAAAACATTAACATTTATTATTATCATTTACTTATCCCACAAAGCATTTTGTAATGGACGTAATTTACAATGGACATGGAATTTATAATAAGAAAATTCACAAAGTTTTTCTAGCACACTCACCATCGAGTAGAGGAAGCAAATTTCGTCATTCAGCCAAGCAGGGCTGGTCCACTTGTTGCAGAGTGCAATGTCTAAATTTTATTGAGAAAATACAAATGCACCATAAATATCAAATGTTTAATTGTTAATTTAATTATTATAATTCCAGAAAAAAATATATATATAAATTTAGTCATATAATTTAATTTTAATTTCATGACATAATTGAATATTACATGCAGAATGAAAATGATAGTATGCATTTCATATATATTAATGCTTGCCGGGGCAGTGGAATGTTTTTCAAAGTTGGAAGGGGGAAACATGTAAAATTAATGGGAATATAAATCAAGGGGATCTGGGTTCATATGTAGGGGGTTGGGGTCAGAATTATTCAATGACAAGTTCTTCAAAATCCAAGGTTTTTCCCCTCTTTAAAACGGTCAGGTAAATTTTTTCATTCTCATTGTCTAGGGGTTCCCCTAGAAAATGTTTACTCCTAGATGGCGAGAAATGAGCTTTTCCGACTTCTAATGACTTTAATTTTAAGTTCTTTAAAATTAAAGGTTTTCCCCTCTTAAAAATCGTCAGGTAAATTTTTCTCATTCGTATTATAGTGATAGTATGCTGATTTTAAGATGGTAAGCCTTGCAAGATAATACAAAGCAATAAAACGTAAGCAACTTCGGGAGCCTCGCAAAATAAAGCAACGCGTATACGAGTGGACCACGCGATGCGATTAAAGGCAGTTTAATCCCATAGTTGGCCACGCGTTGGGATTATTTTCCTGGGCTACTCCACTTTGTAGTGGGGAATTGATTAAACAGGCTTAGTGTAAAAACCCAATTAACACAAACAAAAACGTCTCGTATAAAAATAAACTCTATTGGAAGTAACGCAAGCTCACGTTATATTTCTGAGAATTACATTAATAATTTATCGAGATTATCGTCACCGTTACGATCAAAACCAACAGACAGTAGAAATATAAAACTAGGAGAGGCCTAGGACATAGATACCTCCATGGTTAGGCCTACGCTTTGGCTTACTCAGAAAAATTACGGAGTAAAATTAAAAATCGAAAACAGGCAATTTTTATGAATTTTTGTTAGGCCTAATTATATCTTTTTTACAGTTAGTCTTTAAAATTATCATTTCTTATATCGTTTTAGTATTAATTAAGATTATTAAATAAAACTGTCTAGGACGATAGATATCGGTCTACAGTAGGCCTACATTCGATCATGAACGTAGATAGGGTACACTTTCTTCAGTGTTAGCGAAATACAAAAAAAATATTGAACTTCATATTAGTAC